AGGTTTGCTGTGCTGAAGATAGCCCAGTTGCCTTGTATACCTTCGCTTCTTGTTTCGATGTTATTCTCTCGTTGGATCTCATAAGGGCAGAGTCAAACAAATGGCCACTTTATTCCCTACGGAAATGCCCCGTTGAGGTAGTAGAAGAGAAGCCGCTTGATTCGTTCTACATAGTAGCCGAAGCTTAACACTAAACCAATTATAAGTTGAGCAATTTAAGTAGCTTTTCCATAACGTTGTATACGAGTTTAGATGCTGATTTCGAATTATGTGATACTTTTTTTAACGAAATTAACGAGTAAATTTTTCTAGTATCTTGATGCTATTTGAAGAAAAAAATTATCTCAAGTTAAAAATATGTACACAATAAAGTAGTGAATTCATAGAAAAGCATGAAATATATAAAAATTAAACTATCAGTAAAATAAAACTACTTCAGTGTATATATCGATTATTAAAAAAGTGAATTGTCATGACTGTGTCTGGGATAAAAGAAGCTGCAGTGAATTGAATTTTCCAACCAATTTTCCTATATGGTCCGAGCTATCGCAGCATATGAACGGGGGAGATAGTATAGCTGCCCAATCTACAGATGTATTATTCCAGGACAGAATCATCCGATCACAACACAGAGATGGTCAAACATATCCGATAGTAAAAAAGTAAAAAGAGAAGAATAAAAACCATAGAGAGTAGAAGCGAGTATATATCGTACTTCAGCTGGTACATACGTACTGGCGTAAAAAAAAAGTAGCTACACAAAACGCGTTACTTTCATTCTCGACTTTCCTTCCTGCGATGACTACAGATACGATGTAGTCATGATATAGAAAACCTTGTCACGGTCATGGGATGCACGGGAAACTCTACAGGTATAGAGATCGAATGGAGAAAATTAAGGTGCATAAAAGTGCAAAAGCAATATGTTCGTGGAGAAAGTCATCGGTCGTGCGATTCTCGTAAATGTTCGAGGCAAAAAGTGCGGAGCATTTTTCCTCATCTTTGACCTATCTTGATATTTCATTGTAATTTTCTTTTAACTGAAAGTGTGGAATCCAACGGTTACTTTTAATCATGCAAACACTAATTTGATTAAAGATCAAATATTTTTCCAATTGATTGAATTTTTCATTTTTTCTTAAATAGTGACGGACAGTATCAGAGTCTTTCATAACCCTCCAGAAGATACATTTTTATTAATTTAACTAATGTATTTGAAAGTAGGTCAGTATAAGATCTTTGCAATAAAAAACTCGTTTTTATACTTTGACAGAAAGACATTTACGTCCAATTTTGATATTGCAATAATTTAAAAAATTCATTTTCAATGAAATAAAATAACTTGATGCGTGTATTTAAACTCGACATGTGTTTGAGTACTTAAATAAATTTTTATGAAAGATTAATGCAGAAACAAGTTTATAAACATTACTCAAGAAAATAGTAACTACATTTACCTACAATAACTCGAATAAAAAATATAAAAAAAAAAACAATATTTTTGAGAAATTGAAAGTATCTATAGTTTGCAGTTATCACCTACACTCAGCCACAGTCGTAGGGATTGTAGAAGAGACTACAATAAATGAAAATATTTTTCTTCAAGCTTCTTAGCAGCAGGCATTGCCACTTATATCATAGATCTATCTATTTAATTAAATTAAAAAAAAGTTTTTCAGTGGTTTTCAAAAATAGTATATTTTTCAACGTGTGTGGTTCATTCACACTCTAACCTAAAATACGCAACTTTGCCGCTAATTTTAGGCTCTCTAAAGAAAAAATAGTATCATTAACTGGTGCAGATATGGTTTTTTATCAAAACTCGTTACAGCACTTGCCTTCGGCTCAAGCTATAATCCCTCGTTTTGCTAAAAAATCATATCTGCACCCGTTGAGAAATATACTATTCATTGATCGCTTGAATATTCTTATATGCGTACGGTACAAATCATGTTCAAAAAACTATATTTTACTTCATTAATTTTTTAATGTACCTTATTTGTGATTCATTTTTATAAAAATCATTAAGTAATGAGTTGAAAAATTCCAATAATAAAATAATGCGATTTATTGATGGATGAAAAAAACAATTTTTTTCTATCAACGTCATTAGATAATCTGGAATGTCTTAAAGTATACATTTGTCCTTTTTTATGGAATAGACACTTAGTTGAATATACTCAAGCGAGTCATACAAAAACAATTCCCGTCGAAGAAAAAAAGCATGTATGTAAATTCGTTTATTCCGTTCGAAGATTTAAATCTTCGGGGCTGTCGTGGCGACTTACTGTAGGAGAAAAATTCAAGCGAGGGTAGACTCACATTCAGAAACGTCTCTTTAAAGATCCTATACCTTAACATTCACATGTATACATTCAACGAATGATTATATATGTACACATATACGTGCTCGCACTTTTTCCGTGCCATACATCTTCCTTTTTTAGGATTATTGAGACCTCCCGAGGGAAATTCTCTTCTGCTACTCTCTTTCTCTCTCTTTCTCTCTTTCGTAGAAAGTCAGCCACACATACGTTTGTTTATTTCTCTCTTTCTTTTTCAGCGCGAGGGTAGTTTGCTGAAAAAATGAATGCGACTTTTTGCGGCACTCTGAGTGAAACTAAGCATGCAAAAAGAAAAAGGGAGATTTTGTAAAAAAGAAGGATATAAATAAATTTTTTCAGCGATATTTTTATGCAATCGCAAGCTAAATCTTTACAATCACTCCCACAATGTTAAAAAATCTTGAAGTTCACGAACATTTAATGTCAAGTCAGATATTACAATTAGTGAAAGCAATTTCTTATTTTACTTGAAATATTTCTATGTGAAATCTCGATTGAAAATGAATGGGTAAAGACTAATTCTCTTTTTATATGCATTATTTTAATGCAAACATTCAATCGAAATGTATGCATTTTTAAATGTATACATTTCGATTGAAAATAAATGTTTCGATAGAAATTTATTTTTTGCGATAATAGTTTAAAATTTTTTTAGACATTAAATGATAATTAATGTTAACCCTCACTCTAGATGGCGAGTCTCTTTATCTGTAAATTTACAAGTGGCAAAGTAAAATAATTCTATAAACTAATCAGTATTAATTTACAAAATTAAGATTTTGAAAAATATTATGGATTTGTTTTATTTCAAAAATGTCAATAATTTAAATTAAATTCATTTTAAGGTGACTCTTTACTTAAACATTTTTTCATACAAGGTCTTGAAAATTTGGGACAACGTTAATTAGTGATATAATTATCTCCCTGCAAAATTTCAGACCCTGTTGTCATGCTAATTTTCGAGAAAAAGGCCATTGAAAGTTGACTTTTTAACACGGCGTATATAGGCGCACATTTACTTTTGAACCCTTCTTATTGAATATCTCGCAAAATATATCATACAGCTCTTCCAAAAACTGAAAATATGAAGTTGAAAGTATAAGCTTTCGATTGGTATATTAAAAAGTACATGTTATCATGCTAATTATTGTAATATTCGCCCGAGAGAGTGAAATTTTATGGTCCGATTGAGGTTTTTTCGTCTGCTGAAGAGAAGAGAGGACGCTTACAATACTGCAACATAGGACCCTCGGGCACCACAAGAGTCAAAACAAACTAACTACACTCGTATTGACTAGCCAAGTCAGTAAAGAGTCACCTTAATGTAAATATTTTCAAAATTTTACGTGGATTTACGATTTGAAAGTAAATGCAACTATCTTATTTTACCATCTATTCATAATTACTGTATGTACTAATAAAAGTTCAAGTTGATTGCAATATAATATGAACAAGATAAAAAATATTTGAAAAGTGATGTATATATTCATCATAAAGTAGAAAGAGTACGTACAGCCGAAGCTTTTACTTGCTGCCACGCACGATGACACGCATTGAAGGTTTTGTGATATGCACGAGAATATCAAATCATCGCTAAAATGTTTACAAGAATTTTTTTACAGGATTCTGTCGAGCCCTTGGTCCATTCCTCGATGTACTACAACCTCGAATACATCTGCACTAACCCAAACGAAAGGCTTACTGTTAGTGCGAGAGCATTAATCTAGATCTGAGGCTAAAACAATATGGCAGTTGAATTTCCACGTTGATTTTCAACGCCTTGTTCAGCTACATGCCTCTATACTCGTTTTCTACTGTTCTATATAGTGAATTTCCATTCTACTTTTTCGAGCCTGCTTTCATGAATAGACGTTTTGTCTGTACTCCATCGCAATCTACGTAGATGAACTAATTCTTGATGCATGTTACGAAAGGCCACGAATCTCCGACAAAAAACCTTTTTATAAACGTCTGAAAAGACGTCTCGCGCTTGACAAAATTTTGCTGATTGTCTTTTTGATTTATTCACTGTCGTATAATCGTGAACGCAGTTTTGTAAATAACATTATTATTTCGACGCGCCCGATTGAGATGATTAATATACTATTTATATTTAGCTGTCTAAACTCAACAAAATTAATGAGTATGGCTCGATCATTAGTTATGCATCTGAAACTTTGAATGATTTATGCACGAAAGCGCTTAATCAATGCTCAGCCTCCCGTGTAAGGCCAAGTATTTACTTTATCATTCCTTAATCAAAATTGCAACACATGAGCGACTAAACGGTCGAAATTAGCCCAGCTTTCGAGTTACGTCGTTGCTCCGTCATCGAGTTTTGGTTTATTATGCCGAACGATTGTCATTTTTGAAACAATATGCATGCACATAGAGCAGTTAAAAATTGATTCGCGCGTCTGCATGTATACTCGTCACTGCAGCTTCGCCGCTGCTGTATGTGTGCAGCAGTCGAGCTTTATACATACACATGTCGCTATTCCATGGGTAGTGAGAGCTTTGCGCCCGCGCAAAAGACTATCCCACATGTTGCGTTTCTCTACGCGCTGCGATCGCCGGGCGCAAGTCCGCCCGGGCTCTCTCGCACTCGCGAGTTGGCTTGCAATTCAGTTTCGCGGCTACCAGTGCATCGTGCGAGTCTCGCACATATCTATAGATGTAAAAGTGTATTTTTGTGTGTTGTGTATAGCTTCTCTGTGCATATGTGTCTTTCCGTAGCACGTCTCACCGCCGACGTCGACGTTGCTTCATGGAAGTTTTGCTGTTTGGCGCTATTTATTAAGTTTGTTTTGGAATAAATTTATCCAGTATACAAGTCACGTGTGATAATCTATCTTTCGACATTTGGCGGCTGACGGATTTATGCTGTGTACACTACTAGATATCATTAATTCATCTATAGGAAGATACGTAACACGCTACAAGTGTGCATGTCATCAAATGAATCGCACCATGTGATCGTTCGCAAAGTGTTACTTAGATCTTGTAGCAAGTGTCATGAATAATAGCTGCAGGCCGAATAACGAACTGGTCGTCGAACGCCCGGAACCAAAAATGTCGCAACTATTTGGACACTGATTCGTATTACTCTACTTCTAAGGTAAGGCTATCGGTGCCACAGTCGATCTGCAATAAACCCAAATAATTTAAAAAATTTTTAACAAAAAGAAAAGCAGAGTTTTACTCGAGTGTAATTCCTCATAAATCTTGAGAGAAATAAAAGTATCGTAAAACTTTTCATTTAGGTTTTTTACATTAATTTCTTTTTGGTTATCTAAAGAAGACTTTATGTGTATACATGGGAAAATCCGCCGATTCTTAATATTTCACTTATTCAAAGTCTATTTTTTCATATTTCAGAAACACTTCCTTTAATTTTTTACATGATTACTTACTAATGAAGAAAACTGAAATTACTTATGTCCATTGAAATAGTGCTGACCATTGATTGTTATAAGAATTGAAATGAATTTCAATTTATCTTGGGGAAATAGTTGATGAAATACTTTTTAAAATAACCGTAACTGTTTCGAGGCACTGTTAAAACACGCTTTAACTGGGGGTGAGATTTCCACCAACAAAAAATAAAAATAAAATTGGTTTTAAGCATTAAAATTTAATTACATGGTACTATACGGCCAAAATTCTAATTTTGCCTACTGCATTGACCGGTTTTTATAGTATAAGGGTTGATTTTACAAAACAAAAATTCTTACAATTAAGTTACAAATGTGTACATTTTTAAACAATTTTTCGTGAAATTTTAGTATTTTTTTCACACTAAGATTAACTTGAGGATATTGCTTTGATACTAAAAAGTGTTTTCCAAATTTAGGAAGAGACATTCAAAAATCTACTATGATGAATCATAGGACACGATAATGAACATAATATTCTACATAAACTCTTTAAAAATACAATCACATTCAAAATGAAGATTCTAATGTATTCGAATGCCCAAATACAATATTTTCTGACAATTTTGTAAAAATTGCTGTGGAACCCTTCGAGAATATAGAAAGTAACAATAAAATTATCAAAATTCTTTAAATATAAGCATTAAAAAATGAATGATTTTTATTTCAAAATTCATGAAATATGCTATGCATGTTCTTTACACGAATTCATGTTTTTATACGATTTTAAATGGTTGTTACAACTAAATAAAGTTATAATTGAAATGTTGAATTCGTCAGAAGTTGCATTTCAATTATTTATATACAGCTTAAATAGCAGTTTATGGAATACTAACATGACGGCGGATTTGCACTGACGCTGCACATGTATGTGTTGCTAAAAGATCTCCGTACTTGAAAAAAATTCCATATTTTTTTGTTCAAGTAGAGAGTGCTTTTGTTCGTATATACTTTGTCAGAAACGCGACAAAAGAATATGCTGTATGCGCGTAGAGTTTGTTCCAGCACTGAAAAGACCACCTGTAAAATGGTGTCATTCTTGAGAAACCTCGGTGATCGACGTCGCAGACTGACAAAACATGTTAAAATGTTAAAAATTTGTAAATTCAAAATTATTTAATAGCTTATCGTGCATGAAATCCATAAAACAAAATACCCATTACTTGCTTGGCTATCATTAAAGAAACAATTTGCAAAGAAATGACAATGCTACACAAATTGACACAAATTAATTCAAAGAATAACAATGTGATATGTTTTGACTAACGAGTTTTTCATTTTTTTTTTGTGTATTAGAATGAATTTCATTTTATTTTTTTTTTCAAAGAAAATTGATTCCACAGATATAACCATCTATAGTGCGACAAACAAAGCCGAGAAAATTCGCATTAAAATAAATTTTTTTTTTCAAAAGTGCGCTGCTAGTAGCTGTGAAGTTATTTGAAGTAAGCTTTTTTATAAATACAATTTATGTCACACTTCTACGAAAATAATAAAAATTTTTCATGTAAAGCTTTAAAAAGTCGTTCATTTAGAAATCTATTCCGAAAACGTATTTTAAAAAGTAACGCATCATAAGCTCGGTGATACTGTGAAAAATAATACGCAAACTGATTTTCATCTCAATTTGCTCATAACTCTTTGAGACGAGCCTGCAACATTTTGTTTGTACTTTTTTCCACGAAGCTATCGTCTTAACGTCTGACGACACAAACCAAGTTGACGGATGTAATCTTTCCCTGCCTGCGAACGAAGTGTGAAGATTTGTGGCTGAAATGTAACAGTACAAGAATGAGTCTAAGTGCAACGAAATTAAACCGAAAAGTTTAATTTTGCACTTGACGACTTGACGCACAAGCCTCTCGAATTTTAAGTAAAATTTGATTTTTAAAAGAGAAAAATTGACAGCTTCCAGGATTCTATAAATAATTTAGTGCAAGCCGAATTTAGTTGAAAAACAGTGTGTGCACAGTTTGAAAACTGAAAGACTTGTTTTGACAACTTGTGGTGCATAACATTTTCGTGACCTATTCATTAATGTTATAATTAATTATCCTATGACCTAGCCTGCTCAAAGGGGAAAATATTGCAAAAAATATCTGGTCGTTTAAATTTCGAGCTCGATACAAGTTTATTTTACACGTAGTAACAAAAATAGAAAAACGTTTTTTGAATAAAAAATCCAAAAGTATTTTTATTTTAATAATTTAGAAGTTAATTTTTAAGTTGATGAAAAAACTGCCAAAAGCTGTCTATGAGAGATTAGGATATCATTAATAAAATAAAAAAATAAAAAACAAAATTTGCGTACAATTAACTAGTATTCCCATAAAAAAATATGACTTCTTTTTTGAGAAGCTGTAATTTATGAATTCGTCGTGTAATCATAAAAAAGATTTAAAAAGAACTCCATCAATAAATTAAACATCGCATTTTACTTTTGAACTTGGCGGTAGAATTTAAAAATCGCAACCGAGACATCATCTTTACCTTGGCCCTCGTACAACAGAAGAGCAGCTGATTAAAATCTGATAACCTAGAAAAAGATAAAAGCGAGAGAAAAAGAGCGCAAGAAAAAGATAGAGAGGGAGGGAGACTGATTTGATCGTTCTACTACTCGTTTGAGGACAGTTCGATGCTCTAAAAATCATTGGGATCGCTGCGTTGCATATATCGATGTGTATATACCAAATGCACCAAATTTAGCCCACGAGCGACCTGCTTTCACCGTCATTTAATCAATCGTCCACAAATGCTCGCCGAGATCGCCCAACTTTTATTGCTCGCGTCCAAATCACGGCTTGAAAATAAAAATCATATACAGTGCATGTGTGACTCGTGTGCTTTTGTTCGTTCGCAAGCTCGCTCTCATCCCATAGGCATGATACCTACATAACGCACATTGTCCCCTACTACTTGACTATGGCTATTTTTCTGATTCTTCTCTTTCTCTTATTCTCTACGCGCCACCTCATACATTTTGTCGAGTAGCAAAGCGGTACAGTAGCAGCCGTGTAGCAGTGGAGAGAAAGAAGCGAGACGCGAGGGTCTATTTTCACTTTCTCGTTCGCGCTCGCGTGTATTTTATTTCCGATCGAGAGTAAAAGAGAGAGAATAAGAGAGAAAGAAAGCGAGATACAGAGAGAGAGAGAGTCTGGCGTCATTCTCTTTGCTGAAGAGCACACCCGTATTATGCCATATACTCGGTGCACCTAGTGCAAGTTCGGCGATCGTCATGGATTCTGCAATATCGTCTCTGGTCAATTGGACGCGAGGTTAGTCATCTCGCATGTATTAATACACGAACAAATTCACACCTGCGTGCTTGAGTATATGCATGCATGCATGTATGTGTGTGTGTGTGTGTGTGTGTGTGTGTGTGTGTGTGTGCGTGTGTGTGTGTGTGTGTGTGTGTGTGCACGTCACTGCTTTGCGTATATGTTCGATATATCATGCTCGCCAAAATAATTGAGCATTGGGAATATCGCGATATATACGCGAGAGTCATCGTATCATCGGTTGCGTGTGTCGATGTAGGGAAACAATGAGCGAAATGCAGTGTAGCGCATCGGCGAAGAGAGACGCGAGTTTACAGCATGTAACTTCGAGTGTGTCTTTGTGTGTGTGTGTGTGTGTGTGCGTGTGTCGTGCAGTATATGCTCTCTAGTTCATAGACGTATCCCTACTACGAGTTGTAAATGACTATCGAATTGTTTACGACGCGACAGTGAACAAAAAACAGGAGTTTGACGGCGACGACGTCGTAGTCTCGCGGCGGCTCGACGATGTTTCGGATGTATTTTTCATTTTTATTATGATTGGCATGATGACGATGGCTCGTAACTTTAACGACCAAATAGGCTTATTTTCAGTAGCTCTGGAATACACGATATTTATTTTTATTGCTACCGATCCACCAGCGTGCTTCGTTTTGCCCTGACAGTGATGTAATATGTATTCAAATATAATTAGGCTCTGTTTATTGAGATTTGATGGATACATGAATTTTGTACTGCATTTTTGCGAGGCGGAAATTTTTGCTTTACGAGCATGGCGCTGAAATGAAAAATTTAAATTGCTCTGTAGACAGTGCACATGTCATTGATAATGATATTTTGTAATCTAGTAAATATTGAAAAACTTGAGAGAAGTTTCAAATTATAATTTCCACAAAGAGAATAAAATTGCACTCGGTGCAAAATTGCAGTTTCGGTACTATTCCAGAAATTAAAATGTATTAATATGCGGGACTATTTTGGGTTGGGTACTGTGATTTATACCATCTCGGAAAATGTTGTTTGCGATTGTGTACTAGTGTCTAGTGTATTCGCCAAATAAAACAAACGTGGTATACTTGGTAGAATGATTAGAATATTGATAGAGATTATTCGTTCCGAGTATCACTAAGATTGGAAAAAATTTTAAATTAAGTTCGTTTCTCTCGAATTTAAAAAAAAAAAGATTCTTCATTATTTGACTGAATCAGGAGCCTCTAACCAACCGCTGCGGAAATCTGTTTATTGCAGTTGATTGTGTAGTACAAGAAAATACGCGAAATAATTCCTTGCGAAAATAAGTAGTGGAATCGTTTAGTCCTCAGAAATATCGCAAATGACTCACCATTCAACTTCAAGTGCAAAGCTGCATGATACCTTCTCGCTCACTTTTATTTTCGAACGTTTTC